TGCAAATAAAAGAAACACCACAGTGAAGGAGCATTGGAATAGTTGTACAGTAAACCTTCACAGGTTGTGCGGTACGGATATAGCAACAGATAAATTTAGGCATTTACCCAGTTGATCTCCTGTTCTTAACTGTAGTGAAATCGTTTGGAACAATCATCTCAAGAGTTAGCAAGTGGGAAAATGGGATTTGTCATAACGTTTCAATGTATTTGATCTCATTTTAACAAAAGGTGACTTTTTTATCAATGTATTTCTTTGCTTCCAGAGACAGTGGTTGATGAATAGTTGAGTAACCGGTGTCTCTGCTTAGGAACACAAAATGAAACCTTAAACAAAAATATATTTGTGATTCACAACAAGAGCTTGCATATATCTGGCACAGTTAATACAGTTAAGTCATCCCAAGGCAGTTAGCAGGATTCATCAAACAGTGTCATACCTAGCAACATAAGGAGAATATGGTGCTGTTTTTGTTTCTGGAGTGTAACAGTAACTTTGAAAAGAATTCTTTCTGCTGAGTTGAGGCGCATTCCAGTGCACGTCAAGAGTTAAATGCCCAGAAATTGATATTGGGTCAGGGTCCAGACATCATCCTGGCTTTCCCCTGGGTGGGCACCAGGTCTAGCAGGACACCCCGCCCCTTGCTGTGGCAGGAAACCAATTCAAAAGGTGATTAAAGCTTTTTTGAGTCATGAACAGGTTCCAGTTTTGTGTCCCCACCTTCCGAGTTCATGGTGTAAAGAGCTTCTTCACTGACCAGCTGGGAAGTTCTCCAACTGTGAACAGTAAGCAGCTACTGATCAAAGCATTCCCACTCCAAGACTGCTTTTGGTGCCAACTTCTTTTAAAGGCCCTTCATCTGTCTTGTATTTCACAGAAGTTCAGTTGCACAGGCCTACTGCCATTCTTCTGCATGGCATGGGAGCAGCCCCACTCTGGGAAGTCAAGTACAGAATCAAGGTTGACTATCCTGTGGTTCACTTGGACAGATGCACTGTCAGCCACTCCATCTTTTGGATGTGACGTTAAGCTGATGCCCCACCTATTCTCCTCAAATAGAATCTCATAGCCCTACTTCAAAGAAAAAGGAGGGAATCATTCCCGGTGTTCTGATCAATAATTCTTTCCCAAATGACATCATAGTAAAACAGAAGCTTTTATTAGCAGTGTCTGATTGTTGTTTGCAGGACCTTGTTGTGACTAAATTGGCTGTTGCATTCCCAGCCTGAGTATGCCTTAATGGCTCTTGATTGGCTGTAAAATGCTTTGGGATACTTTAGGTCTGCCCTCATTATCTCCGCGTTGCAAGCTTCTTGGTGTGAAATACGCTTAATTTTGAGAGGTTACTCATGAGAGATAATGTTTAGTCACATAAAGAACCGCCAAAGTTGTGAATATGGCAAGGCAAAGAGGCTAGATGTACAACTTGGTGGCAAGAAAACTTTGTGGAGGCAGGAGTAGGAGTCTCTGGCCCATTGCTGGGGTGTTTTGGCATTTAATCCCATGTCGGTCGACAGGACTGCAAGAAGGATAGCCCTGGATGGTATTGCAGACTATCCTTTCAGCGGTGAGCAACGCAGCATGCCTTGTAGTGGGATGATTAGGGCCAGCGCTGTATCACTGCGCAAAACCTGAGAGCAGGTGTAGAAGAAGGTAACAGTCCTTCAGGGAACCAAACGCAGGCTAACCTCGCCCTAGCGGCCAACTATAGTGTTAATATTGCAAAAAAACCACTCTGTTTGCTGCCTGAAGATCTCTTACATTTCACAGACCTTTATCTTGTATCATGAATAACAATATCCAGGGAGGTATGTATTAAAGTTGCATCAATTCTATCAATTTCTTCAGGTGCAGAGGCCAGAACGTTTCTTCTCCCCCAGATGGTTTTCTGTTATGTCAGGTGGGGTTTTGGTTGGTGCAAAGATGGACTTGATATAATTAGAAGTCTGCTGTCTGGAAAATTGTAAAATTTTTGACACATTCCTTTGAATTTTCAAGTTAAGAACATGAAGCGTGGCTCTTTCATGTCCAAACAAAGATTCAGAGCATGGTTTTAATGAGGAAGAGAAATGACCTGATCTAAATTAAATAAATTCTTCAAAGCTATGTGATTAGTTAATACATTTGTAAGTGCAAAAATAAAATTCCTGTCATCAGTTTAAAATCAGTTATATGTACTTGGTGAAGATCTTGTTACCGGAAACTTTTCTTTTTCTATTTAAATTACATTTTTGGAATTTTTTTTTCCGCACAGGGTCATTCTAGTATGATTAAAAAAAGAACCTGGTCTACATATCTAATGCATTTACATAATTTGGGATTCTTTTTAAGAATCTAGTGAAAAACTTAATGTCAATAAAATACTTGCATTTCTTTTTCAAACTTTGTGCGATTAGTTGTATCATTCCAGACTATGAGTCTAACGCTTGTAGTTTCAAGCCCCCAGTCAAGGTATTTGAGGAGAGATTGAGACAGAGAGAGTTTTGCATTGATATTTGTTCAAGACATTTAATTGTGTCCCTGCCTTCCCTCTCAGGTGGGTGTAAAAGATTCCAAGGCACTTTGAGGAAGAGCGGGGGTGTTCATCTGGTGTTTTAAGCAACGCTTATCCTCAATCTTTGTCACTGGCCTTCAGATCTAAATGGCTGGTGTATAGCGATGCAGACATTATGCTGCAGTTATACAAACCCTAGTTTGACCCACTTCGAGCTATGTGAGCAGATCTTGGCACCACACCTTAGGAAGGATGCTTTGGCCTTAGGGGAGTTTAACACAGGTTTACAAGGATGATACCTGGACTTCGGGGATTAATTTATGAGGAGAGATTATACAAATTAGGCCTTTATTCTCTAGAATATAAAAAGTTAAGGGGCAATATAATTGAGCTTTTCAGGGTATTATCTGGGGAAGGCAGCATAGATAAATTATTTCCACGAGTTGAAGATTCGACAATCAGTGGCATTGTCGAAAGATCATGGTCAGACCATTCAGGAGAGATGTTAGAAAGTATTTAGATACAGAGTAGTGGAAGTTTAGAACTCTCTTCCTCTAATTGCATTTGATACTAATTCAATTGTTAAATTTAAATCTATAATAGACTTTTTTTTTATTAATCAAGGGTATCAAGAGATTTGGGCCCAAGGCAAGCGTATGGAGCTTACAAACCAAATTCAGACCTCACCCTTGACTGGCAACTCATTATTCCACAGCTCACTCTACTTACCATGCACTTCCAATTCTCCTGCCCTAGTGAAAAACTAGACAATTTCATGACTGCAAATTAGCCACGATCTTATTGAATGATGGAGCAGGCTGGAGGGTCTAAATGGCCTATTTCTGTTCATATGTTCTGAAACAGATTATCTGGAGAGGAAGTGCTCCCTCCCTGGTGTGGTGAGGGTGATGACAAATTAGGGTGGGACTGAAAACAATTAGATTCTCAATGTCAAGAAGAGTTTTCCCAATTTTCCCCTGGACCCTTACAAACCAAATTCAGACCTCGCCCTTGACCGGCAACTCATTATTCCACAGCTCACTCTACTTACCACACACTTCCAATTCTCCTGCCCTGGTGAAAAACTAGACAATTTCATGACAGGTACAACAGAGTGGGTACCTGCTGGCTACAGCTCACTGAATGCCTGTGCTGGCCGTCATACAGTTGCTCCTTCTGCACCACCTCCCTGTGTAGTCCATCTCTACTATCCTCCTTGATATTTTGTCCACTCCACATAAGTGAACTCCCAGTCTACTGCATGATCAGGCCAGCATCTTAGTTTCTCAACTCTTTAATTAGGAGCTGATGGACACCTACAGTTTACATGCTTCTAATATGTCATTTTGTGCATAGGGCCAGCCACATAACTTGAGCATCAGTACAGGATGAAATGGACACATTCCTTCTATGACTCCACAAGACTAAAGGACATAAGAGCAGAAATAGGCCATTCAGCTCATTGAGTCTGCTGTGTCATTCAATGAGATCACAGCTAATTTGATAATCGTCAACTCCACTTTCCCTATAACCTTTAATTCCATTTCTGATTAAAAATCTGTCTGCCTTAGCCTTGAATATACTTAATGACCCAGCCACAACAACCTTCTGTGTTAGAGATAGCAGGAACTGCAGATGCTGGAGAATCTGAGACAACAAGGTACAGAGCTGGATGAATGCAGCAGGCCAAGCAGCATCATAGGAGCAGAAAGGCTGATGTTTCGGGCCTAGACCCTTCATCAGAAATGGGGGAGGGGAAGGGGGTTCTGAAATAAATAGGGAGAGAGGGGGAGGCGGATAGAAGATGGATAGAGGAGAGGATAGATGGAGAGGAAACAGACAGATCGAAGAGGCGGGGATGGAGCCAGTAAAGGTCAGTGTAAGTGGGGAGTAAGGGAGGGGATAGGTCAGTCCAGGGAGGACGGACAGGTCAAGGGGGCGGGATGAGGTTAGTAGGTAGGAGATGGGGGTGCAGCTTGAGGTGGGAGGAAGAACAGGTTAGGGAGGCGGGGATGAGACAGGGTTCCCAAGCGGAATATGAGTTGCTGTTCCTGCAACCTTCAGGTGGACTCCCTCCATTTTCTCTCCCTTGGTCCAGGAACTCCCTACCTATGTCCGTGACACCACTCATGCCCTCCACCTCCTCCAGAACTTCCAATTCCCCGGTCCCCAACACCTCATCTTTACCATGGACGTCCAGTCCCTATACACCTGCATTCCCCATACAGACGGCCTAAAGGCCCTCCGCTTCTTCCTGTCCGAGCAGGCCCGAAGAGTCCCCCTCCACTGACACCCTCATCCGCTTAGCCGAACTCGTCCTCACCCTCAACAACTTCTCTTTCAATTCCTCCCACTTCCTACAGACAAAGGGGATGGCCATGGGTACCCGCATGGGCCCAAGCTACGCCTGCTTCTTTGTAGGTTACGTGGAACAATCCCTCTTCCTTACCTACACTGGCCCTAAACCCCACCTCTTCCTCCGTTACATTGATGACTGTATCGGCGCCGCCTCGTGCTCCCACAAGGAGCTCGAACAGTTCATCCACTTCACCAACACCTTCCACCCCAACCTTAAGTTCACCTGGACCATCTCTAATACCTCTCTCTCCTTTATGGACCCGTCTGTCTCCATCTCGGGCAACCATCTAGCAACCGATATCCATTTCAAGCCCACCGACTCCCACAGCTACCTAGAATACACCTCCTCCCACACACCTTCCTGCAAAAATGCCATCCCCTATTCCCAATTCCTTCACCTCCGCCGCATCTGCTCCCAGGATGAGGCATTCCACTCCCGTATATCTCAGTTGTCCTCGTTTTTCAAGGACCGCAACATCCCCCCCTCAGTGGTCGAGAACGCCCTCAACTGTGTCTCCCACATTTCCCGCAACTCATCCCTCACACCCCGTCCCCGCAATAAGAACCAAAAAAGAATCCCCCTTGTCCTCACATACCACCTCACCAACCTCCGGATCCAACGCATCACCCTCCGAAACTTCCGCCATCTGCAATCCGACCCCACCACCAAAGACATCTTTCCCTCCCCACCCTTATCTGCTTTCCGGAGGGACCACTCTCTCCATGCCTCCCTTGTCCGCTCCACACTCCCCTCCAGCCCCACCACACCCGGCACTTTTCCCTGCAACCGCAGGAAGTGCTACACC